TCTAATCTTATCTAAAAAACTCATTTTATATTTACTTAATTAGAATACAATTGAATGCTTTGAATTACATTATAATAACTTATTCCTTAAATAGAACTACAGAATATTCTGTACATTTCTATGATTATAAAACTACTTTATATAAACTTATAATTTAAATGTAGATGTTTAGTTTTATTAATAATACCAATAATTGTGTTTGTATTTAAATCCTTGATATTAAACTTCCTTTAATCTTTCCTTTGAATAAAACAATAAATAATTTACTTAAATTATAATGTCGTATAATTGATAGGTTTTACATACAAAACAATAAAAAGTTAATGTTTTGCATTTTAAAATTGGATTATGTCACCAAGTTTGTAGAACTTATTTTAGAATACAATTATGAATTAATTTTTCAAATTTTATTTATACTTAATGTGTAGATTACTGCATAACTCATTAAACAATATAATTTGGTTAAAATTACCTAATCAAATTATACTATTATTAATTTTGACATAAACATTTGCTACTATTAAATGCTAAGTAATGTTAATTACAATGTATGAATATATTCTGTAATTACTGCATAAAAATAATAAGCCTAAAAACTATTTAGAATCTTGTATTACAAAATTGATAAAGTTTTTATTTATTATTTATTTCATAAAGAAACAATACAATAGAGTTATATTTAGATTAAACTAAATAAATTAATCTAAATATTTATATTTATTTATATTTATCTCAGAAATGTGCAAATGAATACAACGTATATCTCACTGTAATTCATGGTAAGCACTGTTTTCAATGTTATTTTTGTGCCAAACACTACAATTGACTCGTTGTGACTATCAAGATCGTTCTTTGAGTTAATTATCAAAAATGCTTATTGTAATGTTTATTTCAATTTTTCAATAATTCTTAATTGTTTGAATAAATAATTTAAGTTTTGTATCAATTAATTAAAATTTAAATTAAAACTAACTACATTTTATTATTAAAATATTACTAGTGCACTTTTAATAGAAACAACTACTCTATCTACAAATATATAAAATCATTTTGTAAATATATTACTAGTATACTATACAGTACTAACTATACTAACTTATATTATACTTTTACAGTAAGATAAACTAAAATACTTTTCTAAATGTTAACACAGATTTTATCAAATTAAAAACTGAAATAACTTATTTTAATTACTTACAAGAATTTTTATAGACATCTCAAATAACAAAAATAAATAACTTCTCACATAAAATCAGCAATTATAAAAGTTAGTTAAATTTATAAAATTATTTTATTTGAAAAGTGTATTGGATTAAATTAACTAAAAACATAAAGAATTATCTCAAAATACTTTAATATTAAATATTACCCTAATAACTGAAATATATTTCGAAAATTATATAATTTTATACATTAATAGGAAAATACAATTTTTGAAACTTAAATAAAAAAGTATTGACAAACAAACTAATTGCAATATTTGCAATATTTTATACGAATACATGTATACCGACAAAATATTTATATAATATTCTCTTGTAAACTGATTTTAAGTAAAATTCAGTATAGAATAGCATAGAAATTATATGAACATATTAAAATAATTATATTCTAGCACTTTACTTATATCAAATCTTAATTCTGAATACTAAGACAATTGTTTTAACAATAGGCATTCATTTTAAAAACAATAATAATTATACCATTAATAATATCCAAGCATTAATAACCAACAATAATTAAATCTTAAATCTTATATATTATATAATTAATTGACACAAATGACTAAATATTAATTTTAGGCAATTATGTCGATACATGCAATGAGACGGCATCATTGGGACAGGCAGTGGATTTGGTTCAAAATAATAACATTATAGCATTTATAGGGCCGGCATGTAGTGATGATCTCCAGGTTTCAATTGATACATATATTATTTGATTAGCATAGTAATTGTTGGTACCATTAAATGATTATATAATTATAATTGCGATCATAAGGTTGTGGGACGTCTGGCATCATATAAGGGAATCCCATTATTGACGGGTTTAGGTGATGTGATTAGTGGCGAGCGATCCACTTATAGCACATTGATTCGGGCCTCATATGACCTCTGGGATGAGGCCCGGGCTATACTGGCCTTCCTATCACACCTCAATTGGTATCACTTCGGACTGATCTACCGTCAGGGGGACGTCTACTACCAAACACTTGCCGAGCAATTGCTTAGTTTGTTGACTAAACCAGAATATTCCGATCGTTTCGACTGTACGTGCAAAGACGTGTACGTCCGAGACATCAATAAAACCATTTTGACTGATTTGGACAAAGTTATTGATCACATGACTCATTGCGCCAGAAGTAATCATTTATTTATTAATACAGTGTATTATATACAATCAAATTGTTTATATAATTACCAAATCACCATTATCAAAATATTCTCACTAATGATAATTGAAGACTGTTTCCATTTACTGGTAAAGCAATTGATACGCTTTCTGTTAGACATATCTCTGAAGGCATAAACTTAAATTACCTATCATACATTCATAGGATTAATAACCTNAAATTAATAATAGAATAATTTGATTAGGTAATTTTAACCAAATTATATTGTTTAATGAGTTATGCAGTAATCTACACATTATGTATAAATAAAATTTGAAAAATTAATTCATAATTGTATTCAAAAATTAGTTCTACAAATCTGGTGACATAATCCAATTTTAAAATGCAAAACATTAACTTTTTATTGTTTTGTATGTAAAACCTATCAATTATACGACATTATAATTTAAGTAAATTATTTATTGTTTTATTCAAAGGAAAGATTAAAGGAAGTTTAATATCAAGGATTTAAATACAAACACAATTATTGGTATTATTAATAAAACTAAACATTTACATTTAAATTATAAGTTTATATAAAGTAGTTTTATAATCATAGAAATGTACAGAATATTCTGTAGTTCTATTTAAGGAATAAGTTATTATAATGTAATTCAAAGCATTCAATTGTATTCTAATTAAGTAAATATAAAATGAGTTTTTTAGATAAGATTAGAAAGAATTTGGATATAATGTTAGAAATGGGAAATAAACATAAAAGCAGATTATAATGACCTGAATGGCAATGTCGATGGCGGGCCCGATGTGAACCAAATCGAAACGAATGGTTGGACTCCTTTCGACCATAAGAAGGCCCACATTATAGCTATGGTTCACATAATTCTTGGAGTAGATTGTCGTGAAATTAAGGATCAAAATAAGACAAAATGCGTGAATGACAAAATTAAAACACATAATCACTTCGACTAGAACTGTATGTTTAGATTAAGGCAACTTTGGGCCCAAACTCTAATTTACGTATAATTGCATCAAATGTTAAAAAGGATAACATTTTGAAAGTTGTCGACAATGTGTTGTGCGTATGAGCTGTGAATTTGTCTCATTTTGAAAGTGGAGTGCAGTTCACGTCTAGTCTCTACTCTAATAAAACTGTTGCAGTCATTGCATGGCTTATACTGTTATACTGTTTGCCATACCGTATGAGTACTATATTACAGAATACAGAATACAGCAGATCAACGATTTACATGTCGTTAATTTCTGGCATCAAAATTATATACGATTCTATGAAACACCATATAATCTGAATAATAAATGTCACAAAAATTATATACTAAAAGTCAATTCATTGCATGTATTAAGCAATAGAAGCATAAATAGTAGTTTTGTAATTCTCTCTCTGTCGATCAGTCTCTCACTTATGGTTAGCTCTTATGGTTAGCTCTTATGGTTAGCTCTTATGGTTAGCTTCTCTCTCTCTCTCTCTCTCTCTCTCTCTCTAATGTTATTTTAATTTTATGTCAAAATTTATCCATTCTTTCAAATATGATATTCAAGTCAACACAACATTTTGTTTTGTTTTTATAAATTTTCAAATTCTTCAGATATTGTATTCTTTTCTCAATCAAAATGAGAAAAGTTGTCAAAAGAAAGTGAGAATCTGTTCGTAATATTAAACGAAAGACTGAGCAATAAATCCTTTTTACGACTTTATGAACTGAATTGTGAATATATATATGATCTGTGAAATTCAAAACCAAGTTTTCAGCGTTTTATTGTCAACGTTGGGTCTATACTACAATACAGTATAGCAACCGATTCTTATGAATCGTGTTTTCAATTCTTACTCAAAAGTCTATTGCATTTCAACACTAAAGTCATATTCGCAGTCGTCTTGTAAAAGACAATTCATTTTGTTGTACAGTATTTATAATTTATATGAATTAAACACGGAATAGACTGTATCGACAAACAACTCCCTTTCCACACAAACGCCTTTTCCGCAAAACGCACTTCATTTGTGATATTAAAGCTTCGTTTATGTCGTTATATAACATAATACTGTATATAAGGGTCTATACTGTCACCAGACTATAGTTATAACACTACTTATAGAGTGCTA